ACCTCATACAAGTACTTGGGAGTATGGCTAGAGGGTACACTGTCCTTCTCTCAGCACATATCAAAGCTGCAGGCTAAGGTTAAATCTAGACTTGGTTTCCTCTATCGTAATCACTCCTCTTTCAACCCAGCTGCCAAACTAACCCTGATTCAGATGACCATCCTACCCATGCTAGATTAAGGTCCCCTGTAGCTCAGTTGGTAGAGCATGGCGCTTGCAATGCCAGGGTTGTGGGTTCGTTTCCCACGGGGGGCCAGTATGAAAAATGTATGCACCTACTAACTGTAAGTCGCTCTGGATAAGAGCATCTGCTAAATGACTCAAATGTAAATATGTAATTTATAGATCGGCAGGTAAGGGTGCTGTCGAGCGGCTAGATGTTCTTTACTATTCGGCCATCAGATTTGCCACCAATGCTCCTTATAGGACACATCACTGCACTCTATACTCCTTTGTAGACTGGTCATCTCTGTATACCCGTCGCAAGACCCACTGGTTGATGCTTATTTATAAAACCCTCTTAGGCCTCACTCCCCCCTATCTGAGATAGCCACTGCAGCCCTCATCCTCCACATACAACACCCGTTCTGCCAGTCACATTCTGTTAAATGTCCCCAAAGCACACACATCCCTGGGTTGCTCCTCTTTTCAGTTCGCTGCAGCTAGCGACTGGAACGAGCTGCAAAAAACACTCAAACTGGACAGTTTTATTTCCATCTCTTCATTCAAAGACTCAATCATGGACACTTACTGACAGTTGTCTGCTTCGCGTGATGTATTGTTGTCTCTACCTTCTTGCCTTTGTGCTGTTGTCTGTGCCCAATAATGTTTGTACCATTTTTTGTGCTGCTACCATGTTGTGCTGCTGCCATGTGTTGCTACCATGTTGTCATGTGGTGTTGCTACCATGCTGTGTTGTCATGTGTTGCTGCCATGCTATGTTTGTCTTAGGTCTCTCTTTATGTAGTGTTGTGGTGTCTCTCTTGTCGTGATGTGTGTTTTGTCCAATATTATTTTTGCTTTTAATCCCAGCTCTTGTCCCCGCAGGAGGCCTTTTGCCTTTTGGTAGGCCGTCATTGTAAATAAGAATTTGTTCTTAAATGACTTGCCTAGTTAAATAAAAAATACATTTAAAAAAAGTTACACCTGATGTTTTCTTGGAATGCTGTGGCGGTTCCAGGAACTCTTTCATAAGCCTACAGCTCAACATGCCAGGCCGCCCATATGAGTCATGTGATGATCAAGTTGAAGCCTGTTGTCGGTGGTATCACACGTCATGATTACCTGCTTTGTTCCTTCTCCATTTCATCAATGTGTGGAAAAAAATACATCGCTTTTTAGGAACTGAAAGCACAAAATGTCTTATTTTATTTTCTCTGATGGTTTAGATCTTACTCACTCACTATGTGTTTACAGTACTTGATTGAAAGTACACCAAGATGATAGCCTAGTAGTCTACCTGTGAGGCAGAAACCTGTTTGGATAATGTACTAAAGCCTTATATCTTTGTAAAGACAAAACACTTGACACTGCACTAAATAGCAGTCATTCATTCGCTTTATAGCATATCCATCAAAATAAATACAATCTACTTGTTCAGTAAAATGAACCCTCCACTTACAGTGGGGAAAAAAAGTATTTAGTCAGCCACCAATTGTGCAAGTTCTCCCACTTAAAAAGATGAGAGAGGCCTGTAATTTTCATCATAGGTACACGTCAACTATGACAGACAAAATGAGAAAAAAAAATCCTGAAAATCAAATTGTAGGATTTTTAATGAATTTATTTGCAAATTATGGTGGAAAATAAGTATTTGGTCAATAACAAAAGTTTCTCTATACTTTGTTATATACCCTTTGTTGGCAATGACACAGGTCAAACGTTTTCTGTAAGTCTTCACAAGGTTTTCACACACTGTTGCTGGTATTTTGGCCCATTCCTCCATGCAGATCTCCTCTAGAGCAGTGATGTTTTGGGGCTGTCGCTGGGCAACACGGACTTTCAACTCCCTCCAAAGATTTTCTATGGGGTTGAGATCTGGAGACTGGCTAGGCCACTCCAGGACCTTGAAATGTTTCTTACGAAGCCACTCCTTCGTTGCCTGGTCGGTGTGTTTGGGATCATTGTCATGCTGAAAGACCCAGCCACGTTTCATCTTCAATGCCCTTGCTGATGGAAGGAGGTTTTCACTCAAAATCTCACGATACATGGCCCCATTCATTCTTTCCTTTACACGGATCAGTCGTCCTGGTCCCTTTGCAGAAAAACAGCCCCAAAGCATGATGTTTCCACCCCCATGCTTCACAGTAGGTATGGTGTTCTTTGGATGCAACTCAGCATTCTTTGTCCTCCAAACACGACGAGTTGAGTTTTTACCAAAAAGTTCTACTTTGGTTTCATCTGACCATATGACATTCTCCCAATCCTCTTCTGGATCATCCAAATGCACTCTATCAAACTTCAGACGGGCCTGGACATGTACTGGCTTAAGCAGGGGGACACGTCTGGCACTGCAGGATTTGAGTCCCTGGCGGCGTAGTGTGTTACTGATGGTAGGCTTTGTTACTTTGGTCCCAGCTCTCTGCAGGTCATTCACTAGGTCCCCCCGTGTGGTTCTGGGATTTTTGCTCACCGTTCTTGTGATCATTTTGACTCCACGGGGTGAGATCTTGCGTGGAGCCCCAGATCGAGGGAGATTATCAGTGGTCTTGTATGTCTTCCATTTCCTAATAATTGCTCCCACAGTTGATTTCTTCAAACCAAGCTGCTACCTATTGCAGATTCAGTCTTCCCAGCCTGGTGCAGGTCTACAATTTTGTTTCTGGTGTCCTTTGACAGCTCTTTGGTCTTGGCCATAGTGGAGTTTGGAGTGTGACTGTTTGAGGTTGTGGACAGGTGTCTTTTATACTGATAACAAGTTCAAACAGGTGCCATTAATACAGGTAACGAGTGGAGGACAGAGGAGCCTCTTAAAGAAGAAGTTACAGGTCTGTGAGAGCCAGACATCTTGCTTGTTTGTAGGTGACCAAATACTTATTTTCCACCATAATTTGCAAATAAATTCATAAAAAATCCTACAATGTGATTTTCTGGATTTTTCTTTTCTCAATTTGTCTGTCATAGTTGACGTGTACCTATGATGAAAATTACAGGCCTCTCTCATCTTTTTAAGTGGGAGAACTTGCACAATTGGTGGCTGGCTAAATACTTTTTTTCCCCACTGTATGTATGTATGTGTATATATGTTCATATGCTATATATATATATATATATATATATATATATCTGTGTGTGGTGTGTGTGTGTTGTATATATATATATATATGTGTGTGTATTATATATATGTGTGTGTGTGGTGTGTGTGTGTGATTATATCTCTATCTCTATCTCTCTCTCTTCTCTTCTCGCTCTCTCTCTCCTATATCTCTTGTGTGTCTCTCTAGATGTGTGTTCTTCTATATCTGTGTGTTCTCTCTATCGTTGTTGTGTGTATCTCTCTCTGTGTGTGTTTCTCTCTCTATGTGTCTCTATAATATTGTGTGTATATGTCGTTTCTCTCTCTGTGTGTGTCTTCTATCTCTCTCCATGTGTGTGTGTGTCTCCTATCTATCTCTATGTTGTCTATCTCCTGTGTGTCTCCTCGATGTCTTCTCCTACCATGCTCTCTGATCTGTGTCTCTCTATCTCTCTGTCTCTATCGTGTCTCTCATACTATATCTTCTCTGTATCTCTCTCATCTGATCTCTCTGTGTGTCTCATCTTCGGTCTCTATGCTCTCGTATGTGTGTCTTATTATGTACTCTATATGTTGTCTATATGTTGTATCTATGCTGTACTATATCTTGTCTATGTTGAGAGGTAACTAACCTATTGTATTGTTTCACCACATCATTTTTATCAGCCGGATAATGTTTACAGTAGCATTAGCATTGTGCTTTATGCTGTGCTGTATGCATTCATGCAAAATATGAACTGTATCTTGGGTGACCATCATCTTTTGTTCACCCAACTCCTTTGTAACATGATACTGTATTGTCCAAATACATGTATTCAATATTTGTCATGTTTTCATCTCATGCAAATATGTAGCCTGGGTGTATTTCTATATTTATGTGTACTGAATAAATATAATGTCCTTGATTCTAAACCTGTATGGCCAAAACACTTCATTTAAGAGCAACTTTATTCTCAGGGGGAGGGTTTATGGGTCTGGCTGTTGCCAATCTCATCTGTCAGTTGAGCTGCCACCACGACTCAGAGAGCAGGTGAGTTCATCACAGGAGGAAATGGTGTCTCGCATTCCAGAGGGAAATACATAGTAGTCCCAGACTGTGTGTGTGCTGTATCACAAGAAAGACAAGCTCTGGATTTTCAACTTTAGACCGTTATTTTGACAGACTTATATCACCGTGGCATGTTATGCTAATTAAATTATCTATCACTGTTCCTGAAAGCTATTCTTGTATCAAATTCAAGATTATGGGTGTGGTAGTATGTGTATGTCAGTGGAGGCAGCTAAGGGGAGGACGGCTCATAATAATGGCTGGAACGGAGTAAATGGAATGGCATCAAACACATGGAAACCATGCATTTGATACCATTCTACCTATTCCGCTCCAGCCATTACCACAAGCCCATCCTCCCCAATTAATGTGCCACCTGTGGTGTATGTTGGGGTTATTAAACGTCTGCTTTTATGATATCAATCCAATACAGGCTGCTCAAATTTCAAGAACTGACCTCATATTCAATAGAACTTCACCTACTACTGAACACTATGTAACAGTACAAAGTAAGAACAGTGCCGGATACTGGGTAGGTACAGTATCAAGTCTCAGGCAGTACCACTGTGTAGTAACGCCACACCAGGAAGAACAGAGACGGGGGGGAAGAACCATCAGGGCTTACATATAACAAGCTGCATTCTGACCCAAACTCTGCATTGGGCTCAGATGAGGAAGTTAAATTATTGCATTTGTCTTTTGCTTCCTTGCTGGCATTGGTCTGAGCAAAATCTCTGGAGACTTCCTCATATGACTAATAAGAGTACACACAGGTTCTGTCTCTCCATGAGATTGTGGCTCTCTCACACACAGCAACAGGTTCTCCACCAGACAAGCAGGCTGATTGATGCTCCTTCTAACCGCCACTCACTGGAACTGTAAGTAGAGAGAGCAGAATTAGCACACAATCCACCTAATATCCAAATCTTGTTCAGCTGCAGGGGTTTACTGTAGGTAAATGTTTGTAACTTCTTAGAGCTGATATAATTTTTTTTGGTAGTTCACTGGGATTGTCTTCACTTTGTGTGCTTGAAAGAGAGTTTGGCAAGTGTTCATTTCAACTACCACACAGATAGCAGCCAGAGTTCAGTGAGACACGAAGTGTGATTGTTGTGAAACAGGCATGGGAAGCCGCATACTCTCTGCATTCAGGACTGTGTCTAGTCTTGTAGAAGTGGTGCAGAATGAGTGTTCTGGTTTGAGAGAGGATGTGGTTAGAAGTAGATTGTTCAAACTGTTCAGAGGTATAAGATCAACAACCCTGATCTCACGTGCAAATGAGTGGGGGTGTAGAGTACCGTACCCAAATTATCACTCCTATAGAGTTGTGCATTAACTGGCATGGTATGCTACTCCATTAGAGTTAACTTTTAAACTGGGCAATGTTAGTCTTAGCCTGACATTTTCTTCCTCATTCTCCAAGAGGCTTTTATGATGTATCAATAAACATTAAACAAGTATCTTATCAAACTGAAAACACCACTGCCTTTCAAAGTTGAATGCAATCAGGATGAAAGGGTGCTCTTAAGGAACAGATGATGGGGTAGGGCATACAAGTGAATGTGTGCATGTAACTCCACATGTTAAAGTAGAGATGAGGAGTTTCAATGTGTGCTTGTTCACTGTCACCATGATAGTCCACGATTGGTGAAAAATACATTCCTGAAGCCTTTAACACTATCTAAATATGTTGATAACTTGTTGCTATTCTTAGATATAAACTCAACATTCCATAGGCCTACCCAGAATAGAAAGTAAAGGGTGGGGTGAACGGTATGCACAGTATGTCACTTTTCTACCTTTTTATACTCAGTCATTAGTAGAGTCACAATTATTGGGGTTTTCCAGACCACAAAATGGAGGATGTGTCTGACTGGACTGGTGTAAAGTATTTGCAAAACAAATATCATAAAACATTTCTGTTTTGGTTCAAAGAGAGGAACATCCTCATTCATTCCGGTGGTGTATATTTGTTATGACAACGGACACCACTTGTATCAGACACTTTATAAGTTCACCTGAGACTACAGGGGCTTTCTCGACCAGTATGACTTGAGCGTCTGCCTGCAGTCATGATACTGGCGGCGCGAGCAGCCGATTCTATTACTGTGCAGTGTGCAAGTAACCACATTCAAATTGTCTGAAAGCCCCTGTGACTCCACCATGCTTCTTCATGTGTTTACAGAGCCAGAGGTTACCTCACCTCACCCCCTGGCCTTTCTGCACCTGTCAGATCTTCCAAAACTGATGCTGTTGTTGTGGAAACCGTGATGAAGTGATAGAAAAGGGAGGCGAGGAGGATTCCCCAACAGACAAGAGTCCTGACAGGAGCCTGGAAGGAGGACACTACTACTTAGACACTGACAGACCGGAGGCAGAGTGCCACACTGAGCCACGAAGCAGCATGGACCAGCAGCATGGAAAAGTGGAGCGCTTCCTCAAGCTGGGCTACTCCCATAGTGACATTGTGCGTGTGCTGGACAGCCTGCGCCATGACGCCCAGACCAACGAAATACTGGAAGAGCTGATCAAGACCTGCCAAACCACCACTACAACAACCACCACCCCATCCATACCAGCCAGCCACTCAGTCCACTCCAGCCCACAGCTCGTCCCCCGAGGCTGCAGCTCTCCCCAGCCCAGCCAGTCCCTACGGCCCAGCTCAGCTACAGACAGGGATCCCACTTTGGGATTCAGACCGGTGGTAATTGATGGGAGCAATGTGGCCATGAGGTGAGTGTACTACTTCATTTTGGACTATTGGAATTTTAGCATTAAATAGATAAAGACAGAGTACTGAATGAAATGCTGGCACTAATGAAGGTAATGTAGGTACTAATGAAAACACAATACCACATAGCGATTTATCTGGTCACCCACAGTACCTGTATTGTCAGATATGCTATAACAATAGTGAAAAAACATGCTTGAAATAATCAACAGGTGATAGAGGGTGGTGTTGACACTATAGCCGAAACTGAGAGGAACAAAACGAGAAGTTCACTTGTCATAAATCAGATGTTATTTTTTCCAACACAGATCACGTGTCTCAAACTAAAGCTGTGTTTTTTTTTGTGGTTTTGTTTTGGGGGGGGGGGGGGGGGGGGGGGGGGGGGAGTGGGGAGGGGAGACTGTTGCTGAACATTTTAAGGATTCTACTTCTCAGGCATACTCACTCCTACTCTTACTCAACTCTGGCATACATCTCAGTGACTGTGCAGTTCGCTTACAAAGCAGCCTTTGATTACTCAAGTCCTGAGTTTCCTTGTCCCTAAAAGTCTCTGTCTGTGGGGGAAAAAAGCTTTAACTCCAAAACACTACCGAAACTTTCTAAGCAACGTACATCATTCTACTAATCATTGTGTATTTTCTATAACTTGCTATTGTTGTTGGGTTCAGTGCCCTGCCCCAGTGGCTTTATAAGCCAGCGAGGTCTTTTATTTGGTGTGCCTACCACTTCCTGATGGTTGAGTGCAGGGAAACCCCACGCTATATATAGTGCGGTCTGTATAGGCAAATGATCCACTCCCAGTGAGCTGCTGTCAATCGGGCTGGGAGGCCTTAGTACAATAGGTCTTAGGCCTATCTAAAGGCCTGCTGGAAACATCACACCACCACTATACAGGATGCTGCAGCTCACATGATACAAGGTTACAAAAGTGTAACATTATATATTCTCCAAGACTTTCTGTTATTCCAGTTTATGGTCATTTGGAGAGATAGTTTTCCCTTTAGACTGGTTTCTGGGATTAAAGGACAAACAACAGTCTCTTTGCTGTGGTTATGCAAAAGAGTTCACATGAATTGGAGTAGGTGAGTCACACAGCTAGCTGGCTTCCTGAAAAGGAAGAAGAGATGTGGCAGTCATTTTAGAACTGAAAAAGGGAAGCTCATTTTTCTACTGTGGCTCCTGTCTTTGCAGCCATGGCAACAAGCAAGTGTTTTCATGCCGGGGGCTGCTGCTGGCAGTCAGGTGGTTTTTGGAGAGAGGTCTCCGTGACATCACAGTGTTCGTGCCCCTGTGGAGAAAGGAGCAACCCCGTCCTGAGGCCCCCATGACAGGTAGGAGACACACCTGTTATACTGTCTGACCAGGGCTAGATGGCACTGTGGAGCCACAGGTCACCAACAGATCTCATTATGGCCTATTATAACTGAGAAATGTTATTAACACCCGATGTAGTGCACTACTTTCTTGTCTTTTTAATGATATGATATGATCCATCAACTCTATGGAACTCTAACCTCTCGTCATGTGACCCTGCAGATCAGCACATCCTCCATGAGCTGGAGAAGAGGAAGATCTTGGTGTACACCCCGTCACGCTGCGTCAACGGGAAGAGAGTGGTGTGCTATGACGACCGCTACATCATCAAACTGGCCTACGAGTCCGACGGCATCGTTGTGTCCAATGACAACTACAGAGACCTGCAGATAGAGAAGCCAGAGTGGAAGAAGTTCATAGAGGAAAGGCTGTTGATGTACAGCTTTGCCAATGACAAGTAAGTCCCAACACTAAGACTCACAGCATCTAAGAGGGTACCTGATGCAGGGCCTATAAGGGGGATATAAACCATTTTCATTTGGGGTTGGCATATATGAGAGATGGTATACCACCTGTTCCACCACCTACACAATCCCTCCTGCTTGTATACTTGTAATACATCTGTAATGAAGACATGACTTCAAGAGTTTTAGCCATCATGTTTACATCATATTCATATTACTTTATATTCAAGGTTCATGCCTCCAGATGATCCTCTGGGAAGGAATGGCCCGACAATTGACAACTTTCTGAGGAAAAAGCAGTGGACCTCAGAAAACAAGCAGCAGCATTGCCCGTATGGTTGGTAGATATTTTACAATACACACTTTTATTTTCAGTTTCCTTCCTCATTCACCTGGGGGGTTTGACTGTAACTCGTCCAATGTGAGCCAGCTGAACAGGATTTGATTTGTAGTTTGTGACTAGTAGTTGGGTCAGTTGTGATTTCATTTGGCTGTCTGTCAGTCGGCTGTTGGCAATGAGAGAGCAGCGCCACTCCAAGGCCACAGCACCACTCACAAACAAAATACCTTATTATCAACACCCAGGATAATAGCGCTAACGGCAGGCCTGTCAGAGGAGTACAACGGTCCCTCATAGCACTCTGCCGTGTACCTAGGGGAACAAAAACAGGCTGGAGACTAGACATAATTTGTTTGCTTTGCTAAGTGTGTTTACAGTACTAAAGAAGGGGGGAAGAGCGCTTTATAGTAAGTGCACTCAGACAGACGCACATCCTAGTTGACAGTCTCTTTAAAAGAGTTACAGGGTTACATATGTGAGCCATGTTTTGAAAGCCCATAAATATTCCTTATATGTTTCTTTCCAGGGAAGAAGTGTACTTATGGAGTGAAGTGCAAGTTCTACCACCCAGAGCGCTCCAACCAATCACAGCTGTCTGTGGCAGATGAGCTTAGAGCCAATAGCAAACCTGCTGCTCAGACAGACAGGGAGTGGCCATTTCTCCCCTCAGGCCCCAGGCAGGAGGCCCATATCTACACATCCCCTTATGAGCTGGATCACACTACTAATAATCTATACAGATATCCATCCACACCGCCTCCCTTTAGAAAAAATGAACATTCCCATTCCCATTCCCACAGGGCTTCGCCTAGTGATCAGTTCACCAGCCAGAGAGAAACAGGCAGCCCAGCTCTACACCAGAAGTCCAGCCTCCGCCTCTGCCCCAGCCCAGACACTGACGAGGCCTTTGGCTCCCTGGAGGCCTCCCTATCCATACTTTATGTCCAGGACCAGACCAACAACACCAAGGGGCCGGAGGTGTCTTACACATACAGCAGCGGGGTGGCCGGCTGCAGTCAGGGCAGTGGGGACGTCTACCCCTCCAGTACTTACAGCAGCCACAGTCACGGCAGCAACACACAGAGGCTCAGCCTGGGTGGGCCCTCCTCGGGAGTCCACTATGCCCCCCAAAGACTGCCACAGTGTGGCTGTGACCACTCACAAAGCTGTGAGTGCAGCCAGTGCATGTACGGCCACCAGCATCTCCAGCCACAGCTAAGAAAGAGCTCCTATGCTGTTCACAGTCACCCCATCCATTCCACAGAGCAGCTGTACTTTCAGAGTCCTCTCCCACAAAGGCAGAGTCACAGCCTCCCAGAACATAGCCTGGGACAGGGCCTCTCTGGTGAGAGAGTGGAGATGACCAGGTCCAATGCAGGTAAAGCTCCAGATAGTGAGCAGAGGAGGTGTGTGAAGAACCAGCTGAGCACCCTCTTCCCCCCCAGCATGGTAGACTATGTGATGTGTCTGTACCCACACACCCTCAACATGTCAGAGCTGGTGCCTCTGATCCAGAGGTTCAAAACCAGCCACGTTCCCTTCTAACGTGCAAGACCTGTGATCCTTTCTCTGTAAGCATTAAACACAGTCAAGTGCAATGCACTACCGTCTCCTGAATGATGCTAGTTCATTTTGAATCTAGCATTGACTTAAAGATTATCAAAGCAGCATGTGTTGTTTTATCATGTAGCCTCAAACTGAGGGAAGGTATTCGACAAAATGGGTTTTTCCCTGTACGGTATGCAGAATAATACTGTCCTTGTCATTTGTTTGTTGTCCATATTAAACATAAGTCCTTGAAAATTGTCTGATGATCTGTCTCCTTTACCAATTTACACTGCCAAGTTTCCTGAACTTTATCATACCAACTATTTTAGGTCTCTACTGCCATCTACTGGAATGAGGAGAAATGAGCCAAAGACAATCGTCATCACATCACTGCAAGTCAACAACCAATGGAATGGAATCAAAATGTGGAATATCTAGTAAGAAATCCAGAATAGATTTTTTTTAATTTTTTACAAATAACTTATCTGTTACAAAGACAGTTTTCCCAGCTAAAATCAAAAAAACACTTTAGATATCCAAATTAGTTTGTTTAATTAATAAAACATTTATGAACCGACTCGTCACACCGAGCTGCAGATAAATTCTTTGGGGTCTTTACAGAAAAAAAGTAATAAGTGCTTAAGAGACAACTAAGAATTTCGCTTCTACCTAATCAGTTCTTGACAATATTAAGCTTTGGTAAAAAAAAAAAAAAAAAGACAAAAAATAAGATTTGTGACTACATAGATTGTCAATACAAATGCCATTCTAAGGCAGTTATGTATGGCAGCATATCACAACATGTGAAAAACTTCACAAACAAACTATTCCACAATTAAGATAAAATCATTACAATGGTAAACTTTTAAACTATCCTCATCAAACAAAAGCTTCACAGGACAAATTAAACCAAATAAAAACATGATTATAAACTGGGTGGTTCGAGCCCTGAATGCTGATTGGCTGACAGCCATGGTATATCAGACCGTATACCACTGGTATGACAAAACATGTATTTGTACTGCTCTAATTAAGTTGGTTAACCAGTTTATAATAGCTATAAAGCACCTCTGGGTTTTGTGGTATATGGCCAATATACCACAGCTAAGGACTGTGTCTTAGCCGTGGTATATTGGCCATATACCATACCCTTTCGGGCATTATTGCTTAATTATAGACACTATTTTCTCTCACTTTATTAGAAATATAACAACGGCACTGTCCTAATTGTCTTTTATTTAGAGGAGATATTCTAAACCTCTGGCCAGGGGGAGATACGGTAAAGCACATACCTATATAAATATCTGCTGATTTGAAAGAGGAATACTTTAAAACATATTCATCCTGATCATTGGAACACTTACCCAATTTATACTGCATAGCAAAATATTTAGATTCTGAAAGCCCTCAGGAAACAGTCGCCTTCCACCAAGCTGTACATTAGCAACACCTTAATACAATTACAGTGAGGGAAAAAAGTATTTGATCCCCTGCTGATTTTGTACGTTTCCCCCCTGACAAAGAAATGATCAGTCTATAAATTTAATGGTAGGTTTATTTGAACAGTGAGAGACAGAATAACAACAAAAAAATCCAGAAAAACGCATGTCAAAAATGTTATAAATTGATTTGCATTTTAATAAGGGAAATAAGTATTTGACCCTTCTGCAAAACATGACTTAGTACTTGGTGGCAAAACCCTTGTTGGCAATCACAGAGGTCAGATGTTTCTTGTAGTTGGCCACCAGGTTTGCACACATCTCAGGAGGGATTTTGTCCCACTCCTCTTTGCAGATCTTCTCCAAGTCATTAAGGTTTCGAGGCTGATGTTTGTCAACTCGAACCTTCAGCTCCCTCCACAGGTTTTCTATGGGATTAAGGTCTGGAGACTGGCTAGGCCACTCCAGGACCTTAATGTGCTTCTTCTTGAGCCACTCCTTTGTTGCCTTGGCCGTGTGTTTTGGGTCATTGTCATGCTGGAATACCCATCCACGACCCATTTTCAATGCCCTGGCTGAGGGAAGGAGGTTCTCACCCAAGATTTGACGGTACATGGCCCCGTCCATCGTCCCTTTGATAAGGTGAAGTTGTCCTGTCCCCTTAGCAGAAAAACACCCCGAAAGCATAATGTTTCCACCTCCATGTTTGACGGTGGGGATGGTGTTCTCGGGGTCATAGGCAGCATTCCTCCTCCTCCAAACACGGCGAGTTGAGTTGATGCCAAAGAGCTCAATTTTGGTCTCATCTGACCACAACACTTCACCCAGTTCTCCTCTGAATCCTTCAGATGTTCATTGGCAAACTTCAGACGGCCCTGTATATGTGCTTTCTTGAGCAGGGGGACCTTGCGGGCGTTGCAGGATTTCAGTCCTTCACGGCATAGTGTGTTACCAATTGTTTTCTTGGTGACTATGGTCCCAGCTGCCTTGAGATCATTGACAAGATCCTCCCGTGTAGTTCTGGGTTGATTCCTCACCGTTCTCATGATCATTGCAACTCCACGAGGTGAGATCTTGCATGGAGCCCCAGGCCGAGGGAGATTGACAGTTATTTTGTGTTTCTTCCATTTGCGAATAATCGCACCAACTGTTGTCACCTTCTCACCAAGCTGCTTGGCGATGGTCTTGTAGCCCATTCCAGCCTTGTGTAGGTCTACAATCTTGTCCCTGACATCCTTGGAGAGCTCTTTGGTCTTGGCCATGGTGGAGAGTTTGGAATCTGATTGATTGATTGCTTCTGTGGACAGGTGTCTTTTATACAGGTAACAAGCTGAGATTAGGAGCACTCCCTTTAAGAGTGTGCTCCTAATCTCAGCTCGTTACCTGTATAAAGACACCTGGGAGGCAGAAATCTTTCTGATTGAGAGGGGGTCAAATACCTATTTCCCTCATTAAAATGCAAATCAATTTATAACATTTTTGACATGCGTTTTTCTGGATTTTTTTGATGTTATTCTGTCTCTCACTGTTCAAATAAACCTACCATTAAAATTATAGACTGATCATTTCTTTGTCAGTGGGCAAATGTACAAAATCAGCAGGGGATCAAATACTTTTTTCCCCTCACTGTACCAAAGTCCGTCTTTCTTCCATCCGACTCGAAAGCTTCTATTCTGATGCAAGTTTTAGGATGAACTGTAAAATTCATGCGTCTCTTGGCACTGAGGTGTAAAAGTCCCCAAATATTAAACCTACATTCCAGTTGTCAGATAAGATGGCAGTTTGGCATTCTGCTTTTGAGCTTTTTTCACCAGTCCAACAGCTCTTGCATCCTAAAAAAACTCCTCCATCTTTCTTTCGACTTTGCTGCATCTGCAGATCGTACACAGGAAATTCAGCATATACATAAGCGATGAACGGCAGACTGAGCGGACGAAGCTTCATGACTGCATAGTTTTCATACAACTGCTCCTCTTTTTCCCCGCAATGCTTCAATTCTCACAGAAATCAAGTAAAAAGCTTAAAAGGGACACCGTGCTTATTGGTTTGAAAGAAAATGGAAACAAAACAAGACAAAACAAAGTAAATAAAGTCTATAAAGCTATACTTACAGGAAATACAAGTGATTCATAGTGAGAAAGAAGGCATTTAAGGCACATTCTAAAATTATGTACAGTAAAAAGCATAAGGGTATTTCCTCCCTCCATGTACTGTACACATAAAGCATGCAATTTAGTTTCCGTTCTTTTTACTGTAGATTGAAGAGACGCAGATTGATAAGGGACACTACAGAGGAGGACAAGAGAAAAGTTATGGTGGCAGTAATAACACTGCAAGTTCCCCCCTGTCATCCTCTAGAAACAGCAACCAAACAAATAGTCCACAAGTAGTCTGTTAGTTTTCCCTTCAGGTGTGAGGTGACGGCTGACCAAAGTTCCCATTCCTGATTAGGCCATCACAGAAGAAAAAAAATCTGCAAATGCACGTTGGCACCCATGTTGGCTTACGTGTTTGTGTGTGTGTGCCATCACACTGCAGGACAACAATTTGTTAATACTGTATATGGAAGCAGTGAGGCATTCCCAGGGGTAAAGTCACCTGCCGAGCGTTGAGCAGGAGGAGGGAGAGGGGGGTGACCCCACGCATGCAGAGACTCCAAGGTGAGGTATCATCCAACTCTGCTGGCTTACTAAAGTAACACAACCTGTAAACACTATCCAGTCAAGCCTTCAGTGGATAGCATTCTACAAACCTCGGAGGAAAAAGAAACAGGCCCAAAATGAAAAAAACTACAAACCCCTGTCCATTCATTTTCTTACCACTAGAAAAAGAAAGAAAAAACAGTCTTTTCTAATGTAGGGGGCTGTGGGTATTGTCGGCGTCTTTGTGGCTCAGAAGTGCCGTGGGAACTCGCACTGTTCACAGCGGTTGAGGGCGGGGTGGTTGAGGAAGGTGCAGGCCGTGCAGCTCCACTGCGTCCCCTCGTCTTCCTCCTGGTCTGCTACAGTCTTTACGCTCTTACTGCTCGACTCTGGATGGAGGGAGGGAAGGAGAGAGAGAGGTAGAATGAGAGGAGTTAGTCACCCAACAGACTACAGAGATAAACACACAGACACACAGTCAGCTGTAGGCAATGAACATCAATCAAAATGGGGTCAGACTGTCAAGGGTTGTTCCTTCAAATTTTACCCTTGAATATTAGGGGAGTATCTAGCTATCTCCATATACAGCGCTGTTTTGTTTTCTGCAATAAACCTGGAATTTTGTCACTGCACCACTGATGGGTTGAATTGGCAGTTGGTAGTTGGTGAATCACTGTTTCTCTTTCGCTCTCCAGGATGTGTATTGCACAAGAAAACGCTTAATGCTAAGGCAGTATCAGAGCGCTAAGAGAATCCTATCAAATGTTAAAAAAGCAACAACATGCAAACCTCTCATCAACAAATGCACTGAAGGGATGACTCAACTTGCCTAGTTAAATAAAAAGTTATTCACTAGGAGTCAATGGTGCTTTCTTTGTGTGAAATGGCAACATTTGATCTGAAGGTCATCTGTTGTAAAATTGTTATGAAAAGGTGTGCAAGGTGGATTGATTCCCCAAAAAATAGTTTACATTTATTTAACCAGGGGAAACCCATTGAGACCAGGGTCTCATTTACAAGGGTGCCCTGGGAACAATAAACCAACATGATCTATCTCAATACAACACTATAAATGTACAATTACACATTCAAATTCAAAAGCTGCAGATAAAATTACACATCAATCAAAACAAGTGCAGTTCTCCTTCTGCACATTCCTCATCAAAGTCCCGGACTCTGTGGAGATCTGCGAAACGTCTAGAACCAGCCAGTCTTGAGAGCGAGTCTGATGGTGGCTGGATTTCCAATTAAGAAGTGAGGTGAGGTAGTATGGGAGTTTCTGGAGAAGTGCTTTATACACAAATAGCAGCCAATGTTGGGCTCTTCTGGTAGCCAACAGAACTATATAAAAGGCAATGATGTGTACGAAAGGTTTTAAAACAGAGGCTGCTGCGTGCATGTAGATTATATCACCATAGTCAAGTACTGGGAGGGATGCTTGAATAATCTTCCTCTCGTTTTCAAAAGTAAGGTAGGATTTATTTCTATAAAGGAAACCCATCTTAATTCTCAGCTTCTTAATTCTCACCTATTTGGTAGATGGGTCAAAATAAAAAGCAGACATTGAATATCCCTTTGAGCATGGTGAAGTTATTAATTACACTTTGGGCGGTGTATCAATACACCCAGTCACTACAACCGCTCAGGGATTTCACCATGAGGCCAATAGTAACTTTAAAACAGTTACAAAGTTTAATGGCTGAGATAGGAGAAAACTGAGGATGGATCAACAACATTGTAGTTACTCCACAATACTAACCTAAATGACAGAGTGAAAAGAAGGAAGCCTGTACAGAATACAACTATTCCAAAACATGCATCATGTTTCCAATAAGGCACTAAAGTAAAACTGCAAAAAATGTGGCAAAGAAATGAACTTTATGTCCTGAATACAAAGCATAATGTTTGGGGCAAATCCAACAAAACACATCACTAAGTACCACTATTCATATTTTCAAACAGTGTGGTGTTGCGTCATGTTATGGGTATGCTTGTCATCGGCAAGGACTAGGGAGCTTTTTAGGATAAAAATAAATGGAATAGAGCTAAGCACAGGCAAAATCCTAGAGGAAAACCTGGTTCAGCCTGCTTTCCAACAGACTCTTGGAGACAAATTCACCTTTCAGCAGGACAATAACCTAAAACACTGGAGTTGCTTACCAAGACTACATTGAATGTTCCTGAGTGGCGTAGTTACAGTTTTGACTTAAATCAGCTTGAAAATCTATGGCAAGACTTGAAAATGTCTGTCTAGCAATGATCAATAACCAACTTGACAGAGCTTGAAGAATTGTAAAAATAATCATGTGCAAATATTGTACAATCCAGGTGTGCAAAGCTCTTAGAGACTTACCCAGAAAGACTCGCAGCTGTAATCGCTGCCAAATGTTACTCTAACATGTATTCACTCAGGGGTGTGAGTACTTATGTAAATGAGATATTTCTGTATTTCAATACATTTGAAAAATATTCTAAAAACATGTTTAACTTTGTCATCATGGTGTATTGTGTGTAGATGGGTCAGAAAAATAATACATTTAATAAATTTTGAATTCAGGCTGTAACACAACAAAATGTGGTATAAGTGAAGGGATATGAATACTTTCTGAAGGCGTTGTATGTCATTTATGACTAGAGAAGCAGCCGAGATGGTGCAGTGTCCTGGCCTAAGGCCTGACTGGTGAGCATTCAGAATACATTTTATATCTAAAAAGGACTGCAGCTGAGAATTTACCAAGAGTTCTAATATTTTCGCTAAACATGAAAGTTCTGAGATTGGGTGACCATTATTTAGATTGCAGGGATCACCACGTTTGTGGATGGGAAGAACACAGAGCCTACCCAGTATGAAGGTGGGAAGGGGAGAGGTTGGACCCCTGGGACAGACAGATGGACAGACAGACAGACAGAGCTACGGGTACCAACCCAGAGGGACAGACAAAGGGACAGAAGGACGGACAGAGGGACAGGCAGAGACAGAAAAACTGAGAGAGAGACAGACAGAGCTACAGGTACCAACCCAGAGGGAGAGCAGCAGGGGGAGGAGGGGCAGAGGAGGGTTCCATGGTTAGGGTGGAGGTAACATTAAATGTTCTCCTGTCTGTCCCCAGGCCCTCTGGCTCTGACAGGTCCCAAGCACAGGATGAAGGGAAGGAAGGAAGATATGTAGGAGAGGAATGGCAGGGAAACAAAGATGACAGATGCAGAGGTGAAAAATACAGCATGTATGAATGAAAACACTAACAATGCCAGGTTTTACAGATAATTGAATGAAAACACTTAAGATGAAAGAATACATGCTGTGATGAGAATCATCTAATCAATGCAGACTTGACCAGGATATCAATAAATAAATACCTGTTAGAAACCATCACAAGTACCGATCTAAAGCCCAATTACCAATAGATATTAATTTATGACAAAGTTTAACACCAAAAAATGACAGATGGAAGTGGAAGCAGAAGAGGCGACCGTACAACCTTATCTAAACTTACCAACAGATAAAGTACCTTTGGGTTTGGGTGGGACAGGACCTAGGAATCCAATGTTGTCATAGAAGTTATGAATGGCACTGGGATTAAAGTGTGGTCCTGCAACAAACCGAAACAAGAGATTGCAATACAGGACAGAGACTGCACCAAAGCCATCATAAGCTAAATTGAAATAGTGAGCATCAGTATAACATATGAACATACATGTACCAGTCACACATACAGACCTAAGTACAGACCCAGTCTTAAAACTGCATTGTTGGTTAAGGGCTTGTAAGTAAGCATTTCACTGTAAGGTCTACACCTGTTGAATTCGGCGCATGTGACAAATACAATTTGATTTGATTTGATTTAAAGTCAAACACTGCAGTCCAACACCTTACGTTATAGGCCTATACCACAAAAACAAATAAACTCAGAAAACAAACACAAAACACTTTACTCCTAACATAGTTGTCTGTTGGTTTCAGTAAGAGGCACTATTAATTTCTGAGGCACTTTTGTTTTTCTGTGTTTCACCTGTGTGACTGTGCTAGCTGGTGTATTAAATCCTGTCAACCATGGAGAGCTGCCAGGGGGCCTATAAATCCCTTTTTACCAAGCAGCAAGAGGATGCAATTGAGGAAACAACTGGTAGTTAACACCACAATGGCAGCACCTTGACTGCGTGTGCCGAGGGGATGTGACCAGACGACTACTACTACGACTACGACTACGACTACTACTACTACTACTACTACTACTACTAATAATAATAATAATATAGCTGTACTGTACACTCCACAAGTCATGTTCCCCGTCTCTGCCTCGCTCTGCTACACTGTACGTTCCCCATTACAGAATACACAAACACTACTAAACATGAGTACCAGGCTGAACCTGAACCTAAAGCTTCCTTGCATTGCAAAAGACTGCATGTTAAAACACCACAGTACACCATAAGCACACTGGACGTACAAGCACATGTATGCACACCACACACAGAGAGCTGGTGTTACATTCATCACAATACTGACAAGCACACTGACAAGCAGACCCACAAAACTAAACGAGCCTCCTACCTTTTGTTTGAAGGAGATCGATTTCTTTAGTTAAGCAGTCAATGTCGATCTGCAGTATCCTGTTTTTGCATCGCAACTGCTGCATTTCCTCAATCTGATAAGAGAGAATGAATCAGGGTCATATAAACCGCCATTTCCAGACTGCTGAAGAGACAGAGTGGAGGAGTAGAGAGACTAACTAAGTCTAGGCACAAGCTATACTGTCCTGACACACAACACAAGCCTATCATACGTCAATGGAGGTGCAAGGAGCCAAGTGGGCTCTCCAGATCTCTCTGGCCTAGTGAATATACAGAATACACAACACAAGAGCTACTGAGCTCAACTCCAGACTTTTAACTTTACCTTCCATGCCCCCTTGTTCCTCCCCTGACTAACACACAGTGATAGCTGACAAAAACAGCTGATTCAACAGAAAACTCAAAGCACCACTTGATTTTGCGGTCTGATATACACTGCTCAAAAAGGGAACACTAAAATAACACATCCTAGATCTGAATGAATGAAATAATCTTACTAAATACTTTTTTCATTACATAGTTGAATGTGCTGACAACAAAATCACACAAAAATTATCAATGGAAATCAAATTTATCAACCCATGGAGGTCTTGATTTGGTGTCACCCTCAAAATGAAAGTGGAAAACCACACTACAGGCTGATCCAACTTTGATGTAATGTCCTTAAAACAAGTCAAAATGAGGCTCAGTAGTGTGTGTGGCCTCCACGTGCCTGTATGACCTCCCTACAGCGCCTGGGCATGCTCCTGATGAGGTGGCGGATGGTCTCCTGAGGGATCTCCTCCAAGACCTGGACTAAAGCATCCGCCAACTCCTGGACAGTCTGTGGTGCAACGTGGCGTTGGTGGATGGAGCGCGACATGATGTCCCAGATGTGCTCAATTGGATTCAGGTCTGGGGAACTGCTGACACACTCCAGCCACATGAGGTCTAGCATTGTCTTGCATTAGGAGGAACCCAGGGCCAACCGCACCAGCATATGGTCTCACAAGGGGTCTGAGGATCTCATCTCGGTACTGGCCTGTCTCCTGGTAGCGCCTCCATGCTCTGGACACTACTCTGACAGACACAGCAAACCTTCTTGCCACAGCTCGCATTGATGTGCCATCCTGGATGAGCTGCACTACCTGAGCCACTTGTGTGGGTTGTAGACTCCGTCTCATGCTACCACTAGAGTGAAAGCACCGTCAGCATTCAAAAGTGACCAAAACATCAGCCAGGAAGCATAGGAACTGAGAAGTGGTCTGTGGTCACCACCTGCAAAACCAGTCCTTTATTGGGGGTGTCTTGCTAATTGCCTATAATGTCCACCTGTTGTCTATTCCATTTGCAAAACAGCATGTGACATTTATTGTCAATCAGTGTTGCTTCCTAAGTGGACAGTTTGATTTCACGGAAGTGTGATTGACTTGGAGTTACATTGTGTTGTTTAAGTGTTCCCTTAATTTTTTTGAGCAGTGTATTTCAACAAACTCACAGCTGCACGCTTAACGTAAACATGACGTTGGGTGAAAACATGAGGAGGAAGTGTGTGTGTGTGTGTTTTTTTTAATTGCCCCAAAGAATCATGGATTCCTTAGAAACATACACCATGTGACGTAGGAGTGAATTGTGAAGTCAAATTGCCATGGATCTCTACTAAGACTGAGCAAAATGTAAAACATACCGTACCCATTTGAAGTAATTTCTTATCAAGTCGGATATCTATGAAGATAATATGCAGCTAAATCTATAGTAAACAAAATAGAACAAACTAAACGCATGAATACAGCACACAGGAGGCTGCTGAGGGGAGAACGGCTCATAATAATGGCCGGAACTGAGCAAATGGAAAGGCATTAAACACCGGGAAACCATGTGTTTGATGTATTTGATACCATTCCACTTATTCCGCTCCAGTCATTACCACAAGCCTGTTCTCCCCAATTAAGGTGCCACCAACCTCCTGTGACAGTAGCTGGGAGAGTAGTGTCTGTGGGGCCTTACCGAGGGGATTTGGGACTGGGAGTTGGATCGTTCTAGCCGTCTCCTGGTCAGATCGTTCTCCATCTCGTTGACCTCCTCTTTTAGCTTCTCCAGCTTCTTCTTCTTCAGCTCCAGCTCATGCCACAGCCGGTCCATACGGGCCTTCTGGTGAACCAACAGGGCTGCAAGATACATAGTACACATTAACACAAAAACACTGACATGGGGACAGACTGATGGCTTAGACCAGTGCTCTCCAATCCTGTTCCTGAAGAGCTACCCTCCTTTAGGTTTTTGGTATTTTAATAGGATCCCCATTAGCTGTTGTGAAAGCCACAGCTACTCTTCCTGGGGTCCACAGAGAACATGAAACATGACATAATACAGAAGATGAATAGACAAGAACAGCTCAAGGACAGAACTACATACATTTAAAAACAGCACACATAGCCTACTTATCAATACAAAATATCTAGGTCAAACAGGGTAGAGGCGTTGTGCCGTGAGGTGTTGCTTTATCTATTTTTTTAAACCAGGTTTGCTGTTTATTTGAGCAATATGAGATGGAAGGGAGTTCCATGCAATAATGGCTCTATATAATACTGTACGCTTTCTTGAATTTGTTCTGGATTTTTGGGACTATGAAAAGACCCCTGGTGGCATGTCTGGTGGGATAAGTGTGTGTGTCAGAGCTGTGCGTAAGTTGACTATGCAAACAACTTGGAATTTTCAACACATTAATGTTTCTTATAAAAAGAAGAAGTGATGCAGTCAGGCTCTCCTCAACTCTTAGCTAAGAGAGACTGGCATGCATAGTATTTACAGTGCCTTCGGAAAGTATTCAGACCCCTTGACTTTTTCCACATTTTGCTACATTACAGCCTTATTCTAAAATGAATTAAATAAATAAAAGTCCTCAGCAATCTACACACAATACCCCATAATGACAGAACGAAAACAGAAATACCTTATTTACATAAGTATTCAGACCCAGATGTTTCTACAACTTGATTGGAGTCCACCTGTGGTCAATTCAATTGACTGGACATGATTTGGAAAGGCACACACCTGTCTATATAAGGTCCAACAGTTGACAGTGCATGTCAGAGCAAAACCCAAGCCATGAGGTCAAAGGAATTGTCCGTAGAGCTCCGAGACAGGATTGTGTCGAGGCACAGATCTGGGGAAGGGTACCAAAACATTTCTGCAGCATTGAAGGTCCCCAAGAACACAGTGGCCTCCATCATTCTTAAATGGGATTAGTTTGGAACCACCAAGACTCTTCCTAGAGCTGGCCGCCCGGCCAAACTGAGAAATCGGGGGAGAAGGGCCTTGGTCAGGGAGTTGACCAAGAACCCGATGGTCACTCTGACAGAGCTCTAAAGTTCCTCTTTGGAGATGGGAGAACCTTCCAGAAGGACAACCATCTCTGCAGCACTCCACCAATCAGGCCTTTATGGTAGAGTGGCCAGACGGAAGCCACTCCTCAGTAAAAGGAACATGACAGCCCGCTTGGAGTTTGCCAAAAGGCACATAAAGACTCTCAGACCATGAGAAACAAGATTCTCTTGTCTGATGAAACCAAGAACTCTTTGGCCTGAATGCCAAGCGTCACATCTGGAGGAAACCTGGCACCATCCCTACGGTGAAGCATAGTGGTGGCAACACCATGCTGTGGGGATGTTTTTCAGCTGCAGGGACTGGGAGACTAGTCAGGATCGAGGCAAAGATGAACGGAGCATAGTACAGAGAGATCCTTGAAGAAAACCTGCTCCAGAGCACTCAGGACCTCAGACTGGGGGCGAAGGTTCACCTTCCAACAGGACAACGACCCTAAGCACACAGCCAAGACAACGCAGAAGTGGCTTCGGGACAAGTCTCTGAATGTATTTGAGCGGCCCAGCTAGAGCCCGGACTTGAAAACAATTGAACATCTTTGGAGAGACCTGAAAATAGCTGTGCAGCAACGCTCCCCATCCAACCTGACAGAGCTTGAGAGGATCTGCAGAGAATAGGAAAAACTCCCCAAATACAAGTGTGCCAAGCTTGTAGCGTCATACCCAAGAAGACTCGAGTCTGTAATCGCTGCCAAAGGTGCTTCAACAAAGTACGGAGTAAAGGGTCTGAATACTTTTGTAAATGTGATATTTCAGATATATATTTTTAAATACATGTTCTAAAATTTCTGGAAACCAGTTTTGCTTTGTCATTATGGGGTATTGTGTGTAGTTTGATGAGGGAAAAAAACTATTTAATCCATTTTAGAATAAGGCTGTAACGTAACGAAATATGGAAAAAGTCAAGGGGTCTGAATACTTTCCGAATTAGCCCCCTAATTACAATGAAGAGCAAGATGTGCTGCTCTGTTCTGGGTCAGCTGCAGCTTAACTAGGTATTTCTTAGCAGCACTTGACCACATGGCGGGACAATAATCAAGATAAGACTAAACTTGAGCCTGCAGGACTAGCTTTGTGGAGTGTGTTGTGGAGTGTGCAGGTGGTGACCACAGACCAGAACATCTCTTTATTACGAACAGACCTCTCCCCATCTTTACAACCATTGAATTTGTATGTTTTGACCATGACAGTTTACAATCTAAGGTAACACCAAGTAATTTAGTCTCCTCATCTTGTTCAACAGCCACACCATTCATTAACAAATTTAGCTGAGGTCTAAAGCTTAGGAATGATTTGTACCAAATACAATGCTCTTAGTTTTAGAGATGTTCAGGACCAGTTTATTACTGGCACCCATTCCAAAACTGACTCCTTGTTAAGCGTTTCAGTGACGTCATTAGCTGTGGTTACTGACAAGTACAGTATATGGTTGAATCATCAGCATACATGGACACACAGGCTTTGTTTAATGCCAGTGGCATGTCATTGATAAAAATAGAAAAAAGTAGAGGGCCTAAAGAACTACCCTGCGGTACACCACACCCTACATGTTCAACATTAGAGAAGCTTCCATTAAAGAAAACCCTCTGAGTTCTATTAGATAGATAGCTTTGAATCCACGATATGGCATAGGTTGAAAAGCCATAAAACGTACACTACCGGTCAAAAGTTTTAGAACACCTACTCATTCAAGGGTTTTTCTTTATTTTTACTATTTTCTACATTGTAGAATAATAGTGAAGACATCAAAACTATGAAATAACACATATGGAATCATGTAGAAACCAAAAAAGTGTTAAACAAATCTAAATATATTTTATATTTGAGATTCTTTAAATAGCCACACTTTGCCTTGATGACAGCTTTGCCCACTCTTGGCATTCTCTCAACCAGCTTCACCTGGAATGCTTTTCCAACAGTCTTGAAGGAGTTCCCACATATGCTGAGCACTTGTTGGCTGCTTTTTCTTCACTTTTCCTGAGTAAGAATCATACAGTTGCATAATCGTTCTTCATTTCATGGCCTACTTCAGAAAGGGCTTTTGGGGGATTCAACATTAATCCTGGGAAAAACATAGCTTATAACGCTTCATAAGAAGTATTATATTGTCTTATTATGTATTCATAAAATGCTATATGCTATACGGAAATGAGCTGTCCCTGCTTTTCTAATTGTAACATACAGTGACAGTCTAGGCCTACATAAACCTTTCACCTCAAGAACTACTACCCCCCCATGCACAGAAATACCAAAGTAAACAACAAAAACAATACCAGGCCAAGCCAAACTGGGAATGTCATGTGAGCCAGAGAGGAATGCATGGAGAGGGCTGCCTGCAGTGAGAGATAAGGGGCAGAAGACCCAGGCTCAGGGCCTTGGAGAGAGAAGAGAAGCCCCACAGTCATCACAGCAGCATGAGTGAGCGCCTAGCGAGGGCCACAGGCACTGACTCACACGTAATCCAGTCAAAAGTCCAAAAAAGGAAACACTGCGCTCCAACACATTTGACTCACACTGCCGCAGTCAAAGGGCTGTCAGCGTAAATCCAGCATTATTGCAGCCGACTCATGCTGCAGTCACACCCCTCTCCATGCGAGTCACCTTTAAGAATGTATCTACTCCCTCAAATCAGGCTTAGATGAAGCAGGGTTTTAAGACCGATAGCTTTTTAATGAGACCAGTGTCTACACAATTTGGTTTTAAAAATGCATTAGTGTCATCATATGGAAATCCAAGTTAAAACCAGGCATAAACGATACGCAATAGTCAAATTACTTTCTTGGCAGAATGCAGTGAAAAATAATTTACTACTGGTGGACAAAAATGTATACTATTCCTTATTGTTATGAGGGCAAGTTACTCTCTTAAAAGTTCCTGCAGCCTCTTTCAACCATTATACTTTGTAAGTGGATGTTATATATGGCCACTTGACTTTTGTTGCACAACTTGATCTTCATGTGACTGAGGGATACCATAGTTCAACCTAAGAATTGCACAACAAACTGTATCCTGGTGTGTTTATATACTTCCATAGACTGTGACCGTCGACAACGCAAAGCAACTAACAGATGAGAGAGTTTAGTAACCCTAATCTGGTCTCACCTTGTGTGTATGCTGCGTCGTCTGAGCCCATGCTGAGCCTGCGTGGCTCGCTGGGCCTCTCCCTGTGTACTGACAGCGGGTCTGAGAGATGATGTGGGTCCGGCTCCACAAAATGGTGGTCCGAGGGGAGGCTAAGGAGGTTGGTAGCCTCAAAGGTGGGGGACACGACGCCGGGGGATACCGCTGGGGGCTTGTTGGGGGACACGGTGATTTTGAAAGTGTACTTGGTGTTGGGCTGGGTGACCACCACTCGGGGCGAGGTGGCCGTGCCTGCCCCTCCTATAGACGCGCGGGACTTGGGTGGGTGGTGGTGGATGTAGGCGGGGCCCATGCTCACCTGGCCCCCCATATTCCGGGGCCCCTGGGACCCGTGCGGAGGTGGTTGAGCAGAGATGTAGACGGTTGGAGGGTTTCTGCCCCCACCGTCATCGTTATTAGCAGTAATGTAAAACTTGGGCTGGGAGCGAGAGCCGGATGAGGCCATGATGGCCTCGTCAGAGGGGGTGGTAGCAGCAACAGTGGGCGGGCTGGCAGAGATGTAAACAGTGGGCTGGCTGCGGCTCAGACCTGGGCCTCCGATGGACAGGGGGGTGGTGGTTGGGCCAGGGGCTGCCCCGACAGAGGAGGAGGATGAGGGGCAGGAGGAGGAGGTGGAGGAGTTGGAGCGGGGGCCACTGCTGGTGCGCAGCACGGCCGTGGTCGTGGTAGAGTTGCTCCTCTGAGGAGATTCAAGTTTGATCTCTATCTGGTTCTTGCGCGGTCCGGTGGAGATGTTCTGGATGTTGTACTGACTGAAGGAGGGCATGCCAGAGGGCATGCCAGAGGAGGAAGCACCAGAAGAGCAGCCCTGACCTCCAGAGGGGGCCTGGAGGATAGAGGAGGGGGCCTGTGGGTTGGTGGGGGAGCTGATGGGCATGTAGACATGGGACGTCTGGTGGCCCTGTGACTGGTGCTGTGAGGTATGTGAGGAGCTGTGCTGGTGCTGCTGGGAGGAAGGGCCTGTCCAGGAGCCAGGCAGTGAGGTGGGATGGGAGATCTGGTAGATCTGCTGCTGGGGCTGGGAGGTGGGGCTGTACTGGGCCCTGCCCGCCTGCTGCTGAAGCTGCTGCTGGCTCTGCCAGGTCGTACCGCCAGACTGGGTCACGTAAGGCCTTATGTAGATAGAGTTACCCTGTGGACTGCTCAGGCCGGACTGTGTATGGGGCCCGCCGTGTATGTGCAAAGAGGTGGGGGTGTTGCGACCCGTCTGGATGTTGGGGGCCAGGGTGACGGTGATGGGGTTGAAGCGGGGAATCTGCTGGCCATGTTGGCCCATGGACTGTCCTTTCCCCCCCAGCTGGTAGAGTCCCAGGTGCTGGGGCGGCTGGGTCTTGCGCGTAGGCTCCATCACGCCAAACACATTGAGGCTGGAGGGCACCTCCACCGGGGCTGACTGGGGCTCCTGCTGGAAGAAGTCACTGTTCGGGGGCTGTCCTGTCTGGAGGGGCCCGTCACTCAGGCTCAGGCTGTGGGACAGTGTCCTGCTGCCGTTCATCCTCAGGCCGTCCCTTCCCGGGGTCGCATGCACATTCTGAGACTGAGACTGCAGGCCCAGGTTCAGCTGGGTCATGGGATTCCGGAACCTGATGAAGCTGGGGTCGTCGGTGTAGTTAAGGTTGCCTCCTTTGCTGTACAAGTAGCCTAGGCTTACCTGAGACAGGTACTCACAACAGGCGTCCAAATTGTTGTTATTCTGAGGAAAAGATAAGGTTAAAATCAGTCATTTTTTATGAGAACTTGTGTTACAATATATATAACTAATGGATTGAAAATGAGGAGACCCCAGACTCACCTGCAGAACACACTGGGACACAACACCCTCTGGAACTTCAGGGAACTTCTGGCGCAGGTCGTGCAAAACCTGAATGTCAATCTGGTGGCTTCCCTGGGCCATTCGTGTATTGCCAGGTCAGGACTGCTCTGCTTGCTCCGTTCAGCACACAGACAATGCCTCAGTGGTGGCAGCACCTCAGCCACAGCTTGAGCATCTTCTGGAAAACAAACACAGAGTTGATTAGGCTTGTACCTACAGTTGTAACCGAACACACACACACAGCAGTTCCTGGTTTCCCACTGTTTCATACTCATACTCTCTTGTTCTACACACAGTAAAGAGACAGTGTGTACTGTATTTGTACCAGTCTGTGTTTTGAAAGGATGTTAATAACAAGGTATGCCTATGCGTGATGCAGTGACAGGAAAGCAGGGAGCACATAGCAGCCTATTCAAACTTCATACTAGTGAAAAACACTTGGGGGGGTGGGGGGGTTGGGTCACGACCCCCTAGAGGATTTTAAGAGGTCGCAGGACTTGTGCAAGAATAAAAAATGTATACAATGAAACAATTAATTTGAAAGGTAACCGCCACACCTAAAGTTTTATTTTGAAAGGATACCGCTACACCGCTTATTTTTGCTGACTTTACACGTGCTGTGCATCCGCAGTGGTGAAATGGATAGCTACGTTCGGACTCTGAGGGTCTTCGCGCTGCACTCACTCACTGACCAATCCAATAACATTCTCGCCCCACACACACACACTGATCCAATAAAAATGTTTTGTTTTAAATGTGACACACCCAATCAGATAATACAGATCTTCTTGTGTTCTGCAGGCATTGCACATGTGGATAGTTAGCTGTCATTGAAGTAATGAATACTAGCTGTCAGAGTAAACTCATGGACAAGTTTTAAAACGTGCAGCTCCCTCGTCATCTACTGCTGCTTCCAATGTAAACAACAAGGCAGACAACCCGGTCCCTGCCAAGAAGAGATATGGTTTTACATAGGGTGCGTTCGTTAATTTGCTCTGGCTATCTACTCCGATTTCAGAGCACTCTCATCTGAGTGTGCCAGAGCGCAGAATAACTGATTAATTTACGAGCACACCCATATATAGAAGACAGTCAGGGTTAGTGTAGACCGTAGTGCAACGAGCCTATGCAACGAGCTGTTAGCTAATAAGAGCATGAAACCCTCCAAAATGAAAAGTCATCTGGGGACCAAGCATCCAAGCCACAAAGATAAGACAGCTTACTTTTTAAAAAGGAAATGTCAATATCTGGAGGCCTCACAAGATTCATTGAACAAGGTATGCAAGGTACAAGAAAAGGCACTTTGTGCATCACACCTTGTGGCCCAGCGCATTGCTAAGTGCAAAAAAGTCCACACCAGCGCAGAGGATCTCATACTCCCTGCTGCGATTGATATGTGCACTGAAATCTTGGGAGAGTCAGCCGCCAACAAACTTAAAACCATACCCCTATCTAATGACACCATGAGGAGGAGAATCCAGGACACAATGTGCCAGACATCAGAGCAAATGGCCATTACACACTGCAACTTGATGAATCCACAGATGTGGCTAACCATGCAATTATATTGGTCTATGTCAGACACGTCTGGGATAATAATTTCGAGGAGCAGATCCTTTTTAGTGCTGATTTGCCCACCACCAACACTGCAGAGCCTGTCTTTAACACAATGGATACGTACCTGGGCTCCATGGGACTGGCCTGGGATGGGTGCTTCGGTGTGACCACCACAAGTAATCTCTGCCCGAACATTTCGATTGTGAGGAATGGCTCGTGTAAGTTGCCTACCTCACTGATATTTTGGATCATCTGAATTCTCTCAATGTGTCAATGCAAGGGAGGGGGCACAATCGATTTTAACAGAGGGACAAAGAGGATGCCTTCAAGATGAAGCTTACCATTTGGGCAAATCATGTTTCTAACGGGAGGATTGACATGTTTCCCAATGCTGATTTCAAGATTCAGAATCTGATCAACAAACCGTTAAACACCATCTTCTCAAGCTGCTGGGAAAGTTTTGCGACTACTTCCCAGAGGAGAACAGGAGACAAGACGACTGGATACGGGACCCCTTTCGAGTGGAGATGGGAAGCGTCACGTTGCCAAGCAACGAAGAGGATCAGCTGGTGGAGCTGTCATTCGATCACGGACTGAGCATACGCTTCCCGGAAACGTCACTACAACAGTTCTGTTCTGGTGCAGCGTAGTGGGAGAGTATCCTGCTCTCCCCTGTCATGCAATCAGAATCACGCTACCGTTCAGCACTACCTATCTGTGTGAAAGTGGCTTCTCTGCTATGGCCGTGCTGAAAACTAAAAGCAGAAACAAACTGGACAGCCAGCATGACCTACGAGTTGCCCTGTCACCCATCACCCAGACTTTAAATAATAAATAAACGTATCAAACTAAAGAAACACCCCAAGCTTTCCCACTGATAGGCCACACACACACTTTTACATTTTTAGTCATTTAGCAGACGCTCTTATCCAGAGCGACTTACAGTTAGTGAGTGCATACACTCACTAACAATAAACAAGTTAATGAGTTATTGTTCACTATGTTAATTATTATTGTTAATTAACATTAATTTTACATTTTATTGAACTGTTTAAAAACTTACACCTTTAAAAAAAACTTTTCACGGTTGTGAAGCTATTGGCATTGTAATTGATGACTAAGAATTCCTAATGATTGTTGTTTTTTCTATTTTAAACACTGGTATATGTTACTGTTCATTAACATTATTGGACTGGTTTTGATGTCATGTTCTGAGTCTCTAATTTATTACACCCCACTCCTGAACTGGTCGCCTAATTAAATGGCTTATTCTCTTCAATTGATAATAAATGTTTTCTCTGTTAATATGGCTGTGTAATGACTTTCTTTAATACCATAATTGAGACAGTCTATGTTGCAAGTGAAGCCTGCCCAAGAAGGCAGCTGCAATACAACATTGCAAAATGTAATCATCAACAGTCCATAATATTGTGTCACCACTCAATTGTCATTGTCAAATTTGGGTCCCCAGGCAAAACTAGTTGAGAACCACTGGCCTATTTCATTATGGTGGGGAGCTTTCAAAACAATATTTCAGAAACCCTTGTAATATATGAAAGGCCTTCATTTCATAGCCCCCCCCCCCAAAAGCCTCTTCATAAAAGAGTAGGAAACCACCTTGGACTACTGAGGAAACAAAGCCTTTTCAACCAATCTTAACATCAACATTCTCTTATTAAGGACAGAGCAGACCCAAACAGTAGTTCCCAGTATTGCAGCGATCTACACATAATCATCAGTTAAGCCCCAAAGTCACTGCCAGCACTACAGCGGAGCTTTGAGGCAAGCAGAAACACTGCTTCACTTCTGATAAACCAGCACAGAGCATGGCGTAGCAAGACCACACAGTGTGATGCTGACCTTCAAGAGCACGAAATTGAGGCTATTTTTACCCTGGTGAATATTTAGCAGAGGAGAAGAGCGGATTAAGAATTAGATTTTCACGAGAATATCACAGTGAATGTCAGAGGAGCTTTGAGGCAAGCAGAAACACTGATTTGGGGTAAGTGTACCTATTAAACCCACTTCCATCTTTGGATTCAAATAAAAAAGAAGAAAAACATCATTTTCTGCTGTTTAATGTTTCAACCAATTCATCTGGTTGTTATATCATAACAGGTTTTATTCTAAACCAATCTGAAGTTTTATTATCAAGTTATTCACAGTTATGTCTTAGTTCCCACTAGTGGCCAATTTCAAAGCTGCAAAAAAACTTGGTGTTGAGGCTAACCTCAGATAAACACATTTTTCTGATATTTTGAGTACTTTCTCAGATAAGTGATATATGCACATGATAGCATATTTCATAGGCATTAAAGGCAGTGTAGCACTTATCTCTCAATGCCAGAAACACATATAATAGTAACTTAGAGCACAAATAATCTCTAACTTCGTAAAAACAATCCAACAATGCCCCACAGTCAGCATCACACGATGAATGAAAAACTTTGTAAAAAGTGGGATACATTTGTGAGAATGAGGCGGTGTCACGACTTCCTCCGAAGCTGCCTCCTCTCCTTGTACGGGCAGGCTTCGGCGCTCATCGTCACCGGCCTTCTAGCCACTGCTGCTCCTCATCTCATCATTCCATTTGTTTTGTCTTGTTTTTACACACAGCTGGTTCATATCCCCTCATCAGTACCTGTATAGGTATTCCCTCTGCCCCCCATGTCTTTGGGTGTGATTGTTTTCATGTGGAGGTGTCGTTAGCTCGATGGAGCTTTATGTATTGTATCACCGGGATATTCGCCCGTGTGCTTTGTTTTCTCCAGTGCGCCGTTTTACCGCACTGTAGTGTTTTACGCATTGCTGCGCACCGCTGTATTTGCCGAATAAACCCTTTATTCTGTGATTTACCCTCCTGCGCCTGACTCCGTCCAAATCACCCGCTACAGGCGGGCAAATTGGGCGTCTACTCTTCAATCTGCGGGGCATATTTCATCCCTGAGAACTTCCACAGCTATCAACAGAAGGACGATTTCAGCAAGAAGTTGCTTCTCAAAGTGGATGTTGTCTCTACCATTAATGTGGCTTCTAAGCATCTCAAACAGCCAGCAGCACCAGCAGACAGTGAGAATGCTAATGTTAGCTAGCTAGAGCGCATTTAGCTCACATCTTCCATCTAAATAACACTAATAAAACGAACCAAATGTAAACATGTCTGCCAGCTGTTGGTAGCTAACTTCTGATGCTGTCATACTGTAGATAGTACAAACCTATAGGAAATAGTAGTTTTGGCCGTGACAGAGGTCACTGTTACTGTATAGAGCAAGTTTTCAAGGTGTTTGTGGGGGCTGCGCGTTGCGGTAATTCAGCCAAAATGAAATGCGACGCTTCGGTCAAGGATCCAATTGCGGATCTGGTAGCATTTTGGAAAAGCCCCAGAACCATGCTTTCTTTGGAGGGGTGGATTGTGGATCTTGCGTTTGGAGCTTTCCGTCAGTCTTTGTGGTTTTTATATGTGGGGAGCATAAATTGTACAATTGTAAACTAACAAAGAATGTTCGTTAGAACCCATGTATATTAGTTAACATACAGAACCAACTACATAAATATGTTAGGGTCCATTATATGCTACCTGGACTTTAATGACTATTTCTTGCCAATTGAAAATATGGGTTTT